AGACACATCAAGCATTTTTCAAGGAATTTTCGAAACAGTTAGTTGGGCAATTAGGGTTTCGGAAGCCGGAATTCACCTCTTAGGAGCTTTGACGGGGAAATCAAGTTCGCCTTGCCGGTTGCGTTCACCGATCAAATAAGACCAAAAGCCAGGTTCGGATAATCCTGTTCTTCTGTGCTCCGTCGTACTTTCTCTCTCTTCGCCGCTTATAGGGTTGCCGTTCTGCAAATCGACCTATTCTGGGTCCATTGTTTGGGCCTTTTGCATCAATTTAAAAAAAGAAGAAGCATAATTTAGCCCATTGAAACACACAATTTGGGCCCTTCTAATACATGGGCTTAACATAGCTGGCTTATGGGCCTCATGCAACCTGTGGCAGTGATACATGGGTGCACAAGCTCTGGGGATATTTGAGTAGCGACTGGTTGGTCATGTGTAATATTGAAAGGTTGACTTGCTTGTTTACAAATTTATACGGATTTTTTTTTTTTTTTTTTNTTTAAAAAAAAAATTGGTATGATTAGTTGTTAGTGAGATTTTAAAGATTGTTTTACAATAATATTTAAAATAAAAATAAATCAATTTAATATTTAAAATAAAATAATTAAAATTGATTTGATGTAAAAGTATGAGATAAATGAATGAAAGGGATATGACGATATGTAGTTAAAATTATATGAGTGTATGAATATTGAATCAAAGTTGAGGTTATGTGTACGAATAATTGATTGATATTATTTAATTATATTGATAATATCCAGAATAGTGAAGTTGAGTTAAAATTGAGTTAAATTTTGTTCGATAACTAAACGATCTTGAATTTCGTTCGATAATTAAACGTGCTTAATTTTCTGTTCAAACTCGACACAATTAACAAACGAACGAGCTCTTGTCGAATACGAATGAACCTTTGGTAGCTAAAATTTGGTTTGTTAATGCCCTAGTTTCAACCCATCGCCGATTGTAGTGCATTAATTAGTTTTTTTTCTTATGTTATATCAATACACATCTGTGTGGGTATGTGTGCATGTGGGTTGATACAACGGTAAAAATTTCAGTGGCTAAACACAATCACGGGAAGAATCTCCACTCCTCCGAAATCTACCGAATTATAACTCTCGATCGGGGGCCCCACACACCACATAAACTAAAAAACACTAGCCCAATTACCACATAAACTAAAAAACACTAGCCCAATTAAGGTCTCTACTCCTCTGATTGTGGAACATTCATTAGAGTATTTTTTTTTTCTTGGATCAATACACACTTGTGTGGGTATGTGGGTATGTGTGCATGTGTGTTGATCCAATGGTAAAAAGTATAGTACCAAGCATGCTGTCACATTTAGGTTCTTGACTCCTCTTAAATCCACCACCGAATCAAAACTCTTGATCTCACGGGCCCCACACACTACAAAAGTGCGGTCCCGATAGTAAGGTATCCGATTCCTCCAAAATCCACCACCGAGTCGAAACTCTCGATGGTGGGCCCCACACACCACACAAACTACAGCAAAACACAGTCATGTGAATCGAAACTCTCGATTGTCGGCCCCATACAACCACACACACTACGAAACCCATAGTCACAGGTAGGGTCTCGACTCTTCCAAAACCCACCACCGAATCAAAACTCTCGATCGCGGGCCCCACACAGCCCCAAAAACTACAAAAACACAGTCACACAGTTAAGGTCTCTGATTCCTCTAAAATCTACCACCGAATCGAAACTCTCGATCGCGGGCCCCACACACACCCCTACCACACACACTACAAAAACCCACCCACCCCAACACTAGACCAAGGAAAAAATAAATAAATAAAAAAAAAATATAGTGTACGTACTATCCCCATTCACCACCACTTTAGAGAGAGAGCATATGGGCACAACAACAAGCAACCACCTAATTGGCTTCCTCAACTTCCTCACCTTTCTCCTCTCCATCCCCATCATCTCCGCCGGCATATGGCTGAGCAGCCGCGCCTCCACTGCCGCCGACGGCTGCGTCGGCCTCCTCCAGTGGCCCCTCATCCTCGTCGGGGCCGCCATCATGGCCGTCTCCCTAGCGGGCTTCGTCGGGGCTTGCTACCGCAACACCTTTCTCATGTACCTCTACCTTTGGGCCATGTTTTTCGTCGTGGCCGCCCTAGTGGGCTTCACCGTCTTCGCCTACTCTGTCACGGCCACCGGGTCTGGCCGGGCCATAATGGGCCGGGTCTACATGGACTATTCCCTTCAGGACTATGCGGGCACGTGGCTTGCGGGCCGGGTCGCCGGCCCGGGGTACTGGGGAAGGATCGAGGCCTGCGTTAGGGGCTCGGGCGCGTGCCAGAGATTGGGCCTAGGCGAGCCCGCCCATGTGTTTTACCTAAGGAGGCTCAGCCCTATTCAGGTGCGTGCAAAATTATTAAGTAGTTCCCATTTATTAATTACTGATGTTTTATAATTTATGGTACTAAAATTTGTAAGTGGAGTTAGCTTAGATTATTGTTATTCTAATTAGAATTTATAATTAAATGAAACGAGCTGGCTGGAAAGAAGAAATTTTAATATAATTTTCCTTATAATATGGATAAATGAGACGAATATGAATATTATATTGGAGTATATACTTAATTGAAGTTGAATAAACTATCTCGATGATGGGTTGGCTCTAATTCATAAAGGTTCTAAGAGATTTGAGGTCCCACTGAAAATTATACTTTCGCATTGGTTGGAGAAAAACAATTATAATGTATGTAAATATACTATTTTTTCTTTATAAATTTCAAAAATGTTAGATAGTTTTCAAATGCGAGAAAACTATAAATTTTGCCTATCTATATTTTACTAAAATAAGTAAAGTGAGTAATACAAAATAAGTATACATTTAATAAAATTGTTGGCATAAAATTACACGTGATAATATTTTAATAAACTTGTATTTGAAAAGTTTGTGCTAAAACAATAGATACAAAACGAAATGTAAACTTGAGATATTCGAAACATCGACACCAAATGGAAATTAAATTCACTATGTCAAACATCAACAAGAATAATCAAATGTTTAGGACATAAAATTTTACAAATTTAGAAATCGAGTAAGTTAATTAATTATGTATCGAATAATCCACTGTATCTCGATCAAGCAATTATCTCATTTTCATGCATTATGCGGTCGCGTTCTGTATATCTGTATTTTCTTAGGTGTGTAAACTGTTAGTTTGTTTGTTTTAAAAAGGGATAATGAGTTTTTAAATATATAAAAAGGATAAATACATAAAAATGAAATTTAAATATAACGTAAAAAATGAATATTAGGACTGCAAATGCATGAGCCATGACCAAGTTTCTCTTGTCGTTTAATGAAGTAGATATAGCACTTCTTTGTACTTTAGAAGTCACTTTTGTCCTTTTTTTTTTTCTTTTTCTTTTGGATGATATAAAGTATATATTTTTGTTTTCTTTGAAATCTTAACAGTAAAGAAATCCTTTGTCACAATTTAGCTCGATTAATTAAGGCTTGAGTTCGATTCGATCGCTTAGCTAAAGCTCACTCGTTAAGCTTTGAGTTCGATTCTGGTCGTTTACCGCAAACTTGTTTAGTTAAGGCTTAGCTCGTTAGGCTTGACAATATAGGGTTTTTATGTAATATCTTTAACTGTTAGCATAATTCAGCTTGTTAAATCTCGAATTGAGTTTGTTAAGGCTCGTTAAGGAGTTGGGCTCGAGCTCGTACATCGATTTCGTGACTAGATAAAGACTCGAGTAGGAACCCAAATATCAAGAGTTCGAGCTACGCTCAGCTCATTTACCGCTCTAGTTGTGAGACAAAGATACCTATTTTTAAATTAGGTATCTATATATATAATTGCTGACAAGTTTCAATAAATTTTATTCAACTAGCAATTAATAATAATATGAGTTCATTTAATAAAAATAGGTGTTCATTTAATAAAAATATGTTCGTCATTTAATGATAATATGCAACTTTCAATTACACAATTTACTTTGACAGGTCCCATTTTGGATGATGTCCATTTCTGTAACGCTTTTTTATGTTCTGAAATACAAAAATATATATTGTTGTTTTTATTTTGATACTATATAGTTTTTTGTATTATATAAATACATATTTTACAACTAATTAAGAATGACTACAAATAACTCTATTTTTTATTGCAGTCATACAATAATAAAAAATATTCTTTCGGATATTATAAAGATACATCAAATATTTTGAAAAATCAAATCCCAGAGTCACGAGTCGAAGAGATTTAAAGATAATGATTTGTTGTGATGGGGATTCGGTCGATGGAAAAACCACACATGTTTGTATATAAATAAGTGTTTAATAATATTTAGACTCACTTTTTTAAATTATTTCTTTCTCATTTATTAAGTTTTATGATTTTTATTTTATTCTATATTTTTAATTACTTTCTCTTCTATTATATCGTTTTTCGTGCAAATACACGGAATAAAACTAGTGAGGTTTAATGTGAATCCTATTTTTTTATATTTTATTTGTTTATATATTTATTTATATGGTCTCATGGAAATCGTAACTTTGATTCTATGATGTTATCATCTTTTTTTCTTGGTTTTATTATGTTAATAAATTTGTAGCGTTTTGCAAAACTAACCAAGAATATCGAATTTCCACCCCTTCTNTTGAGTGCATATGTGCATGTGTATGAATTATTAAATGCAGCTTGAATCTTTAAAGCAAAGAGTTAGATATATACTATATAGATTATAGCCTTACAGATTGGGAATTTTTGCTTTGTCTTTTCATTCTTTTACCAACTCAACTTTATTCCCAAGTCCACCCAAGTCTCAACTCTCTTTTTCTTTACTAGAAAGTTGGTGCCATTTTCTTCCAGCTTTATCCATTCCAATCTGCAGGTTTTTCACTTTGAATTTTCCTTTGATACAAAAAGACCAAAAAAGGTTCCAATTGACACAAAATTTGATTTGACATTTGGTTAAAACTTTTTTTTTTTTCTTTTTAATCTTTAAACTTGCAGTCCGGATGCTGCAAGCCCCCAACATCGTGCGGCTACACGTATGTAAACGAAACGTTCTGGGCCGAGGAAGTCGGGCCCACTGGGCCCGACCCAGACTGCCTGAGATGGAGCAACGAGCAAGAGCAGCTCTGCTACGAATGCGGGTCGTGCAAGGCTGGGGTCGTGGCCAGCTTTGAGAAAAGCTGGAGAAAAGTCTCGATTATTAATGTGGTGGTCTCGATTATCCTGGTTTTGGTGTACGTGATTGCTTGTGCCGCTTTTAGGCACAATAGGCAGCTCGATAACGATGAATCCTATGGCCATGCAAGGATGGTTAAGGCCCGGCCCGGATGGCTCCGATTTTGAATTCAAAGATTTTTCGGTTCGGTTTTTAGTAATTTAAGTAATTACGAAAATCAAATGCTCATTTGCGCGTGATGTAAGGGAGTGATTAGGTTATTAGTCGCTTACGAACAAAGAATCCGCAAAAAACAAGGTATTTGAACTCATGCTTTGAGCTCATAACCTTAAACTCTGTCGAATGTTCTGTTTCCATTAATCAGTCCCTCACGAACGAACAAGAATCCACATAAAAAACACGGCATCCAAACTCATGATCAACAAGAATCCATAAAAAACACAACATCCAAACTCATGATTGAGCTTAAACTCTGTCAATTGTTCTGTTTTTATTAATCAGTCGCTCACGAACAAGAATCTATGAAAAAAGACGGTATCCAAACTCATGATTAAGCTCATAACCTAAACTCTGTCGAATGTTCTGTTTTCATGAATCAGTCGCTCACAAACAATAATCCATAGAAAAACACGGTATCCAAATTCATGATTGAGCTCATAACCTTAAACTCTGTGCTGTTTCAATAATTAATCGCTCACGAACATGAATCCATAAAATACACACTATCCAAACTCATGCTTGAGCTCATAACCTTAAACTTTGTTGTTCTGTTTTCATTAATCAGTTGCTCACGAAAGAATCCATAAAAAACACGGTATCCAAACTCATGCTTGAGCTCATAACCTTAAATAAACTATGTCGAATGCTCTGTTTTCATCAGTTAATGACTCGGTCGATTCTAAGAATGTTAGTTATGGCGTAATGAAACATTACGAAATGAGGCATTGAAATAGTTTACAAACAGGCACAAAAGCCTTCAGCCTTCTACTTAGTCCTTAAGAGGATAACGCGCTTTCGGTCTCTAAGATTTCAGTAAATTTTAACGAACGAACGAACGAATGAATGAACAAACAAAACTTAGACGTCAGCACTTGCTATACTGATGTCATACTATTCCTGCTCGTGCGCAAGTACACAAGTCCGACCAAGTTTCTACAAATCCCAAAAGAGGACAGTGTTTTCGAACATTAGAAAATCGTGAAAAAAGTAACCGAAAAAAAAAAATTGTTCGAATCAGAGTTTTATTTATTCACCTGGTTTAAAGAAGAATCACTTTGCTTCTCTAGCTCACGCAACGTGTCCAGAGTGAGACCAAACCATTCGTCTATCCAACCAAAACAATTTCGATGACTCTCAATGAAAAGTGCCCTTTCTCCCTGCAATGAACTCATTCTTATTACTATTATCGAATGCTTTAAAAAATTAACTAACCTCTATTTGAAAAATGTCGTAGTTCATCTATTAAACTGTGATGTTTTTGAATGTGAGAAG